AGATAAAGGAAATAATGTATGTGTAATATTTATACACAAACTTACATTAGATAGATGTATGTATAAGCTCACATTTCAAATTTGAAAATAAAACTTGCTATGATGAGCTTGAAAATAAATTTTAAATAGAACCCTCCCTTTTTTGATTATTACCTTTATTATTGCACCTCATTAAAAACAAATTAATTCAGTTATACTTACTCACTTACTGCTTGGTTTATTTGCTGTGTCACAGCACTGTTTGCAGCATTTCTGCAAAGAAGAAGCTTGACATCACTTTTTAGAATCACAGCTAGTTTAGAAGAATTTGCCTGCATTTGCCACCTTCTCTTGCCTTCCCTTCCTTCTCTATTCCCCTCTGTCAGAATCAAATTATGAAACAAAGCCATCAGCTCTCCAGAGTCAGGTATTAATACACAGTTTGATGAGAAGCCTCTCCTTTGAAAAGGTTGCTGGGCTCCACCAACAGTCACTGCAATGAAAACTTTGTGCTTGGAAGTGCAGCTGCTGATGCTGGCGGGGCTGGACTGGCCGACTTTCTGGATGCCCCACATTTGGATACTTGTTATTCAATGCACAGTGACTTTCACAGATGTCGGTGCTTGTTACCTACTGTGGGGAAATTAAACCTCTGCATGTAAGCCAGAGCACAAATTGTTCCCTCTTTTTAATGTCACTTTGCCCTCCAGCCCCTGCTGGCTCTGAGGCTCCAAGGCCCACGCTGGGGTACTTAGTCACATGTTCCCACACTCACCTTTAGATTTAGGTATTGTTGTGTTCAGGAGATGAAGTTAAGTTTCAAATAATTCTTCTGATTAGAACAACCCCATCTCAGGAGGAGGTCAGCCTGATGTTTTCAGTTGTTTTCAGTGGGCTTGACTCCCATTTGCATTAAAATCCTGGACTCCTGTTTACATCAAGGTCCTGTTCCTGCAAAATGTTTCCTGGAGTTGTGTCTGGATCAGTATTAGCTGTCACTCCCATTGCTTTTCACTGCTTGGATAGTTAAAAAAGACGGAAAACTAATGTATCTGACCTCATTATGCACAGGAATTTTCCACTGGCATTCCCCCCACCGTTGCCACAGAGGAATGGTGAGAGGGGTGAGAGGGAACATGTTCCAAGCATTTTATGGCCCAGTGATGACCTCTTCCTAAAATAGCACCTAAAGACCAGTAACTTCTGGTACAAGATAATGAACCTCTTACTCTTCCAGCAGCATATCCCTGGCACACATGTCCTGGAGAGCATGGATACTCTCAGCTCACAGGCAGGCTGCAAGTGGGCTGGCAAAGGAGCTCTGTGGTGCTCAAGCAACACCTTGCTGCTAACTTCATATATCATTGGGTCTCTGTCCTTCACCTTATGGCCCACAGGCATGACTGTTCAACATATGAGTTTGGGACAGAGGATTACATGTGTTTGTAACATTAATAGTAAATTCATTGTAGGTCCCACCCTAATCCTTGGCTGAAAATGAAGATTTCTGAAAAACCATCTCTGTCTCCAGTATGCAGCAGAGACAAATTCTGTAAAAGGTGACTTTCCAGGTGCAATTTCTGTCATCACCAAAAACTCTCCCTGCCTTGCTTTGTTAAAAGGTTACCCCCTTTGGTGCTTGCCTTGAAGGCCTAGAAAGCTCATTTTTTAATTCTCACAAAATGTTCCAAGCAGGGGGTGGGCAGGTACTCTGATCCCTGGGCAGAAGGGGTGGTACAGGAGCCAGGAAAATGTGCTGTGAAGTGCCACTGCCTCACTAAATATATTTTCTCCTCCCTCATCCTATAGGCTGGAAGAACAAGGAATGGCAGTTGAAACAGATCCTTCTGGAGGTAGGTTGCTCCTAGTAAGAAGGAAAACATGGTAAAGAGTTGCAAACGTGGGAGATGTAACCATAGGCAGAGGCTGTGTGACATGAGCCAAGTGTATTTGTGTCACACTCAGTGTGTGAGAATTGACAGGTCTTTCATGTCAGAGGCACAAGGATCATGTGTGGGTTTGGAGCCTGTCCCTTACGGGAGCGTAAGCAGGATTAAAGACACTTGAAATTAAGCCCATTTAGTTTATAGAAATTCAAAAGATGCTTCCTTCTTCCAAAACTTTCTCCTCTGTGTAGGTTTTATGATGTTAGGAATTAGGAAGAGTACTATCACTTCCAGCATGTGACATAACTGAGATAAGAATTCATAAATGCATTTGGAACAAACAACTCCATGTTACTGAAAATAAGATCAGTTCTGTGATTAGAATGAACTCAATCAAATTTGAAGCTTCAGGTGCTGCAGCTAAACAAACATATCTCTAATCAGCAAATTATGTCCTTTCAAGGAACGTTATAATTCAAAATGGAGGAACTACTCTAAAACTGTCTTCTCTGGTGAACAAATGATTAGGCAGCAATATTTACGTAGTTATATGTAAAATCTTTTAAAGGGAATTCACGGAGATTTTCCAGCTCGACCTGCACAAACAGATCTGTGCTCAGGATCTGGTGCAAGGGGGACCCCTGGCGGGACGTCCTCGCAATGCCAGGCCCGGCGCCCGCTGCGGGATTCCCCAAGTGCACATGGAAAATCCTCGTATCCTGGCAAAAAAACGACTGCTCTGTTAGAAATTGCCGGTTGGAGTGTTTATAACATTGGCTTCGGGAACTTAGAGAACTACGGAAGGGGAAAGGAAGGGAGGGGAGGGAAGGGAAAGGAGAAAAGAGAAAGGAAAAAAAAGATTTGTGTTTTGTATTTTATGCTTCTTTTTGACATTTTCATACACAAGCAATTTCATATAATTTTTCAAGTTCATGGAATGGCAGAATCATTAGGGTTGGAAGGGAGATGATCTGGAGATCATCTGATCCAGCCCCCCTGCCCAGGCACCTGGAGCAGGTGACACAGGGACGCATCCAGGTGGGTTCTGAACATCTTCAGAGAGGGACACTCCATGACCACCCTCTCTGTAAAGAAGTTTTTCCTCATGTTGAGGAGGAACTTCTTGTGTTTTACTTTATAGTCATTGCTGGGCACAACTGAAAAAGAGTGTGGCACCATCCTCTTGGAACCCACATTTGAGATATTTAAATGTATTGACGAGATCCCCTCTCAATCTTCCCTTCTCCAGGGGAAACAGGCCCAACTCCCACACTCTCTCCTCATAAGAGAGATGCTCCAGACCCCTCATTATCTTTGTGGCCTCCTCTGGGCCCTCCAGTAGCTCCTTGTGTTTTTTGTGCTGAGGATCCCAGAACTGGATACAACACTCCAGATGTGACCTCACCAGGGCTGAGTAAAAGGGGAGGATCCCCTCCCTCTATCCACTGGCCACCCTCCTCCTGATGTACCCCAGGATACAATTGGCCCTCCTGGCCCCAGAGCACACTGCCAGCTCATGGTCAACTTGTCATCTACCAAGATCCCCAGATCCTTCTCTGCAGAACTGCTCTCTAGTAGGTCAGCCCCAGCCTGTACTGGTGCTTGGGGTTATCCCTGCCCAGGTGCAGGACCCTGCACTTGCCCTTGTTGAACCTCATTAGGTTGCTTTCTGCCCAGCTCTGCAGCCTATCAAGGTCCCACTGAATGGCAGCACAGCCTTCAGGTTCATTCTATACCTTCAGCCAGGCATCTCTGTTATTCTTTCCTTTGAGGCATTTTAATTGAAGTGCCAATGATGCTCTAGGGTAGTGACGCTCTCACAGAATTAAAAATGCATATTGTATTTTGTTTACGGGCTGACAGTGAAGTGCTCTCAATTGTACATACAAACTCTGGTTGTCTTGAAATTTACTGTGTTTAATGGAGACCGGAATGAAAATGCTTTTCATTTATTTGACACTAATATTTTTTTTCTTGTAGTAAAGACAGTAAATGCTCATGGAATAAGATGAGGCGTCCATATGACTGGGCCAGGCTAATCCTATAAGAAGAGGCAGCAACATGGGCTGCTTCTCACACCTGTCCTTGGGTGCACCCTGCTTTTGGAAAGGGTGGTCACGCTGGTGAAATCACTAAAAACACTTCAAAGAGCCTTGGTCCTGCTCCAAGCCCTTCTTTTCATTTGCAGAGTGAACAGAGAGGTGAATTGATCCTCTGTGGGAGGAGGAGCTTACCTGTTCAATAGGCACAGGGAACTGGCGTGCCTCTTTTCAGGACTGACATCCAGAAAGATGACCATGAGAACATACTCAGGTCTCTTGACACATGAGACTATAAAAGTCTAAAACTTTATTAAAGATATGAAAAGCTAATAATAATAGATTGCCTTGGCAGTTTACTCCTAAAACCATTTATTACTACTGTTTATTCCTCCTCCTTTTCCCTCTACTCCTCCTCCTCCTTCTCACTGTTCCTCACACTTCTCACTCCTCCCTCTGCTGGGCAGCATTTTGCCTTTTCCCACACAGGCCTCCCCTGCAGCTCCAGCACTGCCAAACCTGGATATCCGGGCCACAGACACGGATTTACCTGTACCAAGAGTGACCTTCTCAACTGCCTGGGAGACACAGGCAATATTCCCACTTAGGAGGAGGAGTGCTGGAAGAAAAGCAGGAGGCCTGTGGAGGTCTGTGTATACATGACCATCTCCCAGCAGTCTTCAAACTATGTCCAGAGGTGGCTGAGCCTCCAGCTGTGGGTCAGGATCTGATGGTCAGAAATAGGTAACGCAATGGCCTCTGCAGGCCTTTGGGGGTTTATTTGATGGGACCACCCTCCTAAGAGGAACAGCCCAAGGACAAGCAGCAAGACCCCGTGATGGAGCTGCTGGTTTCAGCAGCATCTTTTGAAGCCAGTTTAGAGGCATTCCGGGACATGGGAAAGGATGCAGGGAGGAGGAGATGTCAAGAACACCAGGAGAAGACAGGGAGGTGCTAAGCACCTCAGCACAAGTGTAATCACTGCAAACATAAATTGGAGCACAAACTTCATCTCTTTGTTAGAGAGAGGAGATGGAGCCAAGGGGTACCATCCTCCAACACAGTCTTGCCCAGACACCCACAGAAAAAGCATTTCTCAAAACAAGCAAACAATTCTAATAACATGCACAAAGGATGAATCTCTCCCACGCCTCCCGGCAGGGGGAGTATCAGGACTGGCAGCAGGTGCAGAGGCTGCACAGAAAGCAAGGATGTGGCTTCTGTTTGTCTTGTCAGACAGCAGAGGGGGAAGCACAACACGTTCTCCGAAGAGTGCTGCAAATGGCCATAGGAGTGTCTCACTGGCAGACCCACCATGCTGCTGAGCCCTGCTTGAAAAAGTGCACAAAGGATGGTCTCAGGGACATGAGCAGCAGGAGGTTGGTGATGTTGTCCTGGAGGGTGCCGGGACTTTGTAAGTGCTGCCTGCTCTCATGGCTGGATGCAGCCATCAGAAAGCTGTTCTTGGAAAGGGCTTGGCAAAAGCACCAGAGGTCCCTACCTTATCCAGGGGCTTGTCTTGAGTGTTGTAAGGGTCTGATTTATCTTCCCAGTCCTCCTCCTCCTCTCTCTGCTCCTGGGCACTGTTGGAGTTTCCCCACTGGCTGCTGCTTTCAGAGCCAGTGCTCCTCTGCTTGGGCAGCCAGTAGAACCCAAAAATCACGAGGAGGATTTCGGCAGAGGCCCAGAACCACCACCGCTGGCAGGCAGATAGGAGCAGGCTTTCCTCACTGAGTCTGGTCTGCTCCTGGAGCCTCTTCTCCATCTCCATCAGCCAAACCATCTCTTGATTCAGACGCTCCTCATGCTGCTTCAGGAGCTCTTCCGTGACCTTGACTGACTGGTCATCCATCAGCAGTATGAATTGTAGGACACCCAGAACCATCAGGATTTGGGTGACGCTCAGAGCCATGGCCTGGAGGAGGAGGATGGAGAGAAGGGGCTCAGCAGGACTGGGTGGCAGCGAAATGGCTGCACTGCCAGATGGGGCACCTGGGGACTTGTCCCCTCTGATGTCACAGGTGCCAGAGCCCCATGGTGACCCCACGCTGCCAGCCTGGGCTTTGGATGGAACTGAGATGAAACTCAGATGGAACCAGAGAGTTTATGACCTTTGGAAGGAGGAGCAGCCACTCAGGAGGACTTCAGGCTGTTGTGCGGTTATGCAGGGAGAAAATTGGAAGAACCAAAGCCTGACTGGAAGTTAATTTGTCCAGTGCTGTAAAAGAATAAAAAATGTTTCCATAAGTACATTAGCAACAAAAGGAGGGCTCAGGAGAATCTTCAGTCTTTGCTGGTTGGGAGGAAGCACAGTGACAAAGACGGAGAAGGAGGAAGATTCTGAGGTACTTAACATAAAGCTTGACTGAGTAACCTGATCTCCTCCCATGACAAGAAGAACTGCTTAGTAGATGAGGAAGGGGCTTTGTTTCCCTGTAGTTTAGTAAAGCCTTTGACACTTTCCCACAGCATTCTTCTGGAGAATCTGTCTGCTCGTGGCTTGGGCAGGTGCACTCTTTGCTGGGAGAAAAACTGGCTGGACAGCCAGGTCCAGAGAGTGGTGGGGAATGGAGTTACATCCAAGTGCCAGCTGGTCACCAGTGGTGTTCCCCAGGGCTCAGTCTTGGGGCCACTTCTGTTTTATGAGGAGCATCTGAGGGAGCTGGATTTGCTCAGCCTGGAGAAATAGGGGCTTGGGGGAGATCTTATTGCTCTCTTCAACTACCTGACGGGAGGTTTTAGACAGGTGGGGTGTGGTATCTTCTCCCAAGTAATAACTGGCAGAACAAAAGGAAACAAAAGGCCTCAAATTCTGCCAGGGGAGGTTTTGATTGAATTTCAGATACAGTTTCTTCACCAGAGGTGTTGACAAGCATTGGAACAAGATGCCCAGGGAGTTGCTGAGTCACCATTCCTGGAGGTATTTAAAATACTTGATGTTTCACTTAGGAACATGGCTTAGTGCTGGACCTGGCAGTGCTGGGTTAACAGTTGGATCTTAAGGTCTTTTCCAACCTACATGATTCTTTGATTCAGTGATTCTGTTGCAGTAGTCTAATGTAATAACTAGGCTCAATGCAAATCCTCACCTGAGCTTTATTTCACAAGCCCAGTCATTTCCCATATGTCTTCCTATGTATAAACCTCAAATTAAAAACAAACAAACAAACAAATGAACAAACAAAAACAACAAAAAAAGAAAGCAAAGCATCGTAAGTGACCCTTATGGTGTCTATAAGGCTGTGGTTGTCGTGGTCTTACCCAGTGACTCAGTGCTGTCAGGTTCTGGCTGGGGCCAGACCGAGGTCTGCTGCCCTTTTGCCCGCAGGATTTCAGTTCTCCCAGGCACCTGAGATGATGCCCAAGCTTCATGTTCCTTTCCTTGGATGTGCATTGCTTGCACTGCAGCTTCACTTAGTTCTTCAGAGCTGTGAACATTCGTAATATGCAGGGACATGCACTACCAAAGGTCCTTGCAATGTTTATCACGTCATACATTAATAACTTTAATTTAACTTCCACCGTGAAAGTTGCTGGTCCTGACAGATAAGGCTGGCCATGATGTTAATACTGTTATCTATCAGAGATGCTACAAAAACTCAGAAAAAATGAGTGAACCTTTTTCATTCTAGGAGTTTGCTCTGCTGAGCAGAGCCTGCAGAGGGCTGCTAGGTTATATTTCTTGAGTGTCATAAGTGATGTTTGAGATCATTCTCCTTCAATATGACATCAGTAAAAGACTTTAGCTTCAAAGTATAATTGAATTATGTTGACCTTTCCAGTCATTACTGATTTTGTGGAGAAAATTGCAATGATGTCAGCACTTGTGGCTCTGCTACGTATTGGGTAGCTACTGTGGATACTTCAGAAATCGTCCTTTCATCAACAGTTGTCCAAACAGGCTTTAAGGCTGTCAAATTTATCTTAAGGCTGAAGTATTGTCAGGATATGTGGCAAACAAAGGAAAAATGCCCTCAGAAAAAAATATGCTGCTATGCACTCTTCTGTCGTGTTCCATTTTCCCCTGATACACTGTATTTTTGGGTTTTGTTCTCAGAGTGCCTAAACAATAGGTTTCAGCCCCCTGCTTTGAGCTTCCTAGATTGTCTGCAATACACACAATAAAGATTGAATATTTGCCACTGGAATAAAAGTTACCTTATCTGGTGGCTAGGATACAGGTTCACAGAGAAACTCATCTTGGTTCTTGCCTTAGCTTGTGGTCTACTGAGTGCCTTCAGTGTCAGTGGTAATTTCTCACTTATAGAGAAGAGAGAGTAGGACGTGTTTTTCACCCTAAAGAGAAGAGCTGCTGTGAGACACTGAAAACCTGGAAGAGTTAATGTAAACCTGGAAGAGTTAATGTCTCAAACACTGGGGAGAAGAGAAAAGGAATGTTACCATGCCAATGGAATAAGGCAAAGTTAGGAAAGAGGGTCTTTGGAGGCAGGATAGTGTTTTTTTGGGACCACCTTCCTTATGTTGGGTAGCTGCCTCTAAAACCAAATTTCAGACACCGTTGCACTTGTGTCTCTGTCAGGGGAGGGGAATTGAAACCACGAGACCCCCCAGCACCCTTCTGAAAAGTTCAGGAATAACAAAATAACATGTGAGGACAATTCTATAAATAGCAAAACTGTATGTGCACCCACCATCTGGGCACCCACTGTTTGTGCACCCACCATCCAGAGGAACTGGACCCCAGATGGTGCTGAAACCTTGGGTGGTGACCCGGATCCTTTTCATTACCTCTATTTTTCTGTCTTCCCTTCTTCCTTTTTTCCCCTCTCCTTAACAGTTTAAATCTCTGCTGCCACACACTGTTTAGAAACGTTTAAGTCATTGACACTGCGAGCCATTCAATCTATCATTTGAAAGTTTAAGTCTTTGCTGTCCTAAATAAAACTTTGTAATTGATAATTCGGTGTTGTTTCACCTTAATTTATCCCAAGGGTATCCCAAACATCTATCAGCTATCCCAGAGTAGGCAGTCCAGAAATGCCCTCTTAGCACCTGACAGCTGCTCAGATGAAAAATACTCTGAAATCTTACTGTGATTTTATTATATTTTAATTTCTCATGATAAAGAGCAATAATATCCCTAAATTAAAAATTAAATATTATTGAGACATATGAAAGTGATATTTTATTTTTTTACAAGTCAAACTAGGGCTTGTTTGAATGCCTCTGACTTGATATTGAGCTTTTTCAGATAAGACAGAGATCTACTACTTTCAGTCACGTATTTAACCTTTGTAGCCTCATTGAATAATGACTGAAGCAACCAAAGAATGATATGTAACACTTATCTTTTATGCATTTGTTACCAGGAGTGCAAAGATTGAGAATTAGAACTATTAATAAAGTTTTACTTGTCATATTTGTCAAACACATACACCCATATGCACACTGGTTTTTTAAAATTTTTGGTGTTCTGAATAGCAAAAACCAGTTTGGAAAATCAGATGAAGGTAAACATAAGAAACAAGAAAAAAATAATTTTCACATCTTTTATAATTATTTAATCACTCCAGAATAATTCCTTTAGATATTGTTCTTTTCATTTTCTGAGAGTGTAACAGTTTTTCTGCTTACAGGTATAAGCCCATCCATCTCTGTTCTTTTTATTCTGTGTAAGGGAGATGAGTTAATATTTATTCCACATGGAGAGTTCTGCATCTTATACAGAAAGTTGTCAGAATGATCAAATTGAACAGCAGGATAAAATATTTAACATACCCACTGAAAAGTAGAAAATAAAATTTTTGCTATGTTCCTGTTCTCTATTAATCACAATCTGACTGAGCGTTTCTAACCACTCATGGTTTTCAAACAATTGATTTCTCACTGAAGCAGACAAAAAAGGAAAATATTGCAAATCAACCCAACCTCCCTGTATTGTAGACCACTGAAAAGTTGAAATGTGATTTGCTTTCAGGCACTTTTCATTACTTGATTAATAGAGCTGATTCATATTTGGCTCAGTGGTTGCTCTCTCTCAAAGGACTGTTTACTCCCCACTCTGGTATGAAGTTATGAAGCAAGGGCAAACACCATCCTTGCTGCTTTTTCCTGGTGAAATAAGTCTGTTCACCTTTGGCCAGAATTAGGGTCTAAGCATACCTATAGCATGGTCATTGCTGTAGGTGACATGACCTGCTGACAGAGCAAATGAGTTTGAGTCATTGGGCTGATTATTTTAGGTATTTTATATAAAATTGGCAACTTCAGTGAGAATTTTCAAGGCCAAGTACTGCAGCATACAAAGAGTCACACACATCTACTGCCTTCCATTCCTTTCTCACTCACTCACTGCAGCTCAAATTGAGGCCAGCTCCAAATCATCTGCCACGTGAATTGTGCCAAGTGAACCCAAACTACCTTCTCAGTTCATAAAATATTCATTCAATCCCAGCTGGGACTGTAAAATACAAATGTTTGGTTATGATGTTGATAACATACCCTTTTCATTCTCTTACATATGTATTAAGGGAATAGTTTTACACCCACTCAAAAGTACAGCTATCTGAAAAATTAGAGCTCTAAAAAAAAAAAGTAAAATCTAACTTTTCCATCTCCCTCTGCTGGAAGTGCATTTGACACTACAATTGCCTGCCTAATCCAAATGACCATTACAAAAATGTTTCAGACTTTACCCTGCCATAAATTCCTATCATCTCCTTTCATATCCATCTGTGGGAAATTTAGGTTCCTCCATATTATCTTCTCCTGGCATTCGATATTCCATGTTGGACAAGTATTTGTTGTAGGATAATTGCAATACAATTCAGTGCTAAAACACTAATGGAAGGAAGAACTTTGGAGTCTCTCAGATTATATACCCACTATACTAGTTCGGAAAACTGGAGAGTGCTGAGATACACACCTTTAGTCACAGAGAATCTTCATGCATAGAAGAGTATTTTAGGACACATTTGAGAAATTTTAGCTGTATTACTCCTGAGTTTTTCTCCCCTTTTGGTTTACAGACAATGATTGATGCAAATCTTTACACTTATAGTGATACGGATATTCACCTTCCAAAATACTGTTAACATACTCTGAAAAATATTTAAAATATAATTTTTCAGCAGAAAATAAGACACATATCTATCTGTACTAGGTGTGTTTCTGTGTGTGTAAATTAGACAGTGTTATGGCATAATGCATAGGTCTATTTTCAAGAGTTGGAGGAGTGAACATGTTGTCTTCAGAGTCCAAACAACTGCTAATAAGATGCTCAGAAAAACTCTGGCTAAGAAGCCTTAAGTGAAAAAACTGGGGTGAGTTTGCCTTGTAGACCCAGTGTTGTGACATGAACAAAAATGGCACAGACACAGCAGTTTTAGTTGGAACTATATCCATCACTTTTTAATGAGAAAGAACCAGGGTACTTTGTGAGCTGATAAAACTTTATTGTTTGCTCTTTATTGGCATCTGATTTACACAGTTCAACAACCTGCCATTTGTCTTTAAGTCAGAGTAAGGTCTCACTCTGGATGAACCCAGTGCTCACCACATCAGTGAGAACAGAGACACAGGCTCCTTTAAAAATTGTGCCATATATTCCACGGGTGCTACATTTGGATCATCTCAAATGCAAGCTGATTGCTACTGTAATTTTCAGATGATCTCTCTGTATTGAGTATACAGAGCTGAGGAAAGAATGTATCCTGTTTGAGTAAAACACAAAGAATATAAAAACCCCCATGTTTAACACACTAATCTGTGTTGTGTGGCCTCTGTTGCTGACAAAAGATATTTCAGTCACAACCAGAGAAGAATGATTTTTTTAATTAGTAGAAATGAAAAGTGGTTTGATTAAGAACTTTGGATATATCTGAAATGCAATGTCACACTATAGAAAAGCTTATGCAAGAAGTTATTTAGACAGAGATGTGTATAAAGAGTGAAAAGAACTCTGTACTTGATAATTATAAAAAAAAGGTAGCTATGTACAACTTTGCTTACTGTGTCCTCTCTCTCCAGGCTTCTCATATAAGGATTAGTGGTGGCTGATGATTCCTTTCTAGTCCTGGGGTTATGGTTTGTAGACATCCTGCAGTGTTGATCCTCTCTTGATTCTCTGCAAGCCAGTACTGAAGTTTCAGGAAGTCATGTACTTCCCAGGGGCATTTTCTCCAGGGCAGTATAGTAGCATGTGGAATATCTGCCAGAATAGGAAATCTCTCTTCTGTAGTCTGAACTCTGTGTTTCTGAGGAGTCAACAGGACTAGTTGTTAAATGGAAGCAAATAAAGAGATAACAAGCTAAAAAATAGTAAGGTCTGTGAGAGGGCAGGAAAAGAGAGAGGGCAGGAAAAGGGAGAGGGAAGGGAAGGGAAGGGAAGGGAAGGGAAGGGAAGGGAAGGGAAGGGAAAAAGAAAAGAAGCCTCATTTGTCTGGCAGATAGGCAGTGATGAGTGTTCTCATCTCATAATTATGTGAGTAAGCAGGAGGTACATCAGTATGGATGTTGTTATGGCTGAAAACCTTGTCTTGCATGTTCACCTATATGCACACCACAGTTTGCCTGCTCATATGGACAATCTCTTGAAGGGAAAACACAATCTGCTATAATGCCTATCTGCTAGACAAAATGTGCATGATTAGTTCCATATGGCTTTTTTTTGTCTTGAAAAAAAAGTGAGGAAGAGTTCCAAAGTGAGGAAAGATTTCAAAAATAAGCAATGATGTATTTCAAAATCCCAGTTCATTGGCCTCCAGTGAGATTTAAATGCACATGAGTGTGCTTTGCTGACTAGACATGTCCTTAGATATCTGCTTAAAGACATGTACATAGTAAGACATGATCTTCTTTATGTGGGCTTTGAATCAACATCCAAATTATTTGCTGAATGAAGCTTCAAAAGAAGATGTCTGCAGTCCACACAAAAACTGTCTGTTTTCTAATGTAACACTTTCCCTTACTGCTGAGTTGCATTATCAAGTAGAAAAGTGCTAATGCTGTTCCTCTTCACACAGTCACATTTAGGACACAGATACACTACTTAATGGAAGGAGATGCCTGGTCTTATATGTGCCTATTCCTAGCACTGCAGGCGTGAGAGTCCTTCAGAGGACAAATCAGAAAATCCAGATGTTGCACTGTGTTGTAATGTAACCCACCACTGATGACTTGAAAACAGCCCCTGACTTTTAGTTCCAGCTTTAAAAAGCTTCTGGGTGAGTTTTTCTTTCCTCACACTCCATACAAGCAAAATGAGGCAGGATAGTCTCCCAATTTAGATGGTTAAATTAGCTGTCTAAATTTAAGTGCTGTTAGTAAGCCACATGAATAACCTCTTTCAGATGTAATTTTTTAGGGGAGATAGGCTCTAGAGTGATTTGTCCCAAATGCAAGAAAGAAAACAAAGCTTTCTATCTAACATGGCTGTTTGCTTTCAATAGATGAGAGCACTTTAGCAGGTGTCCAGCATTGGGCTTTAAGAGTTTTAATGTGCAGCTCGTGGCACCAGGGTTGCCAGCACCCTCTCTGCCATGCCATCTGCAAGGGTGCCGTGGTGGTTGTAGCAGGATGCTCTGCCTGGAATGGAGTAGAACAACTCAAATAATGCCCAATTTGCAAAGCTACCAGTGGTAAATGGAGATGGAGGAGTCATGCTGCTTTAAGTGTTGAATAATAGTGAAATCAGTCTGACTCATCAATCCCAAATTTAAACATCCTGATTGTGAGGTGAAGATGTGGTAGGCCTGGTAAAGCACCCGGATAAAGGAAGAAACAAGTGATACCAACTGCTTGTCTAAGGCTGCTGAGCTGACACAGCCAGCCTGGAGATACATGGTGGACAGTCAGTCACTTTATACTATAAAAGCCCAGTCTGAAATTTTAATGGCAGGGTCTTCTAACATATCCCTTCTGGGAGTGTATGTGTGGAAATTTCTCCCTTGAGTGAGGCTGTCCCTCAGTGTTACTCCTTAAGATTGAGTGAAAGCAATTTGCCCACAGTCGTTGATATGGGTGACATCAATCTCTGCTTAATTGGTTTTGCTAGCTTTAATACAATGGCATATATATATATATATATATATATATATATGTAGCTTCAATGTTGCTTCATAGTGCCCTGTATTATAATAGTATTATAATATTGTTATGGCTCCTATACTGTGTCATTAATAATTCCGATTAAGAACTTTTTTCTAATCATTATCATAATAAATCATATATATATTTATATAAATATATATGGTTTGCCATCCTTAATCCTGGTGACAACATTGTATGGAGGTTCAATTACACCTATACAATACTTTACACATAAACTATTGACAAAGTCTGGGGCTAAGACTGGATCCTTTGCAGCAGATTTAGAAAGCAAGGGGCTCCTTTCTGTTCCCTGTGATTCAGTAGGAGGATTTCTTTAATAAACTTTGTCTGAATCTCCCACTCTGCCTGCAAGAGTGGGGTGACAGTCACTCTCCATCAAAGAGAGGAAAATCAGGCATCTAGATGGGAATGTCCAAAAGCCAAATTGCTGAGCAGAGGAGAGTTTCAAACTAGTCAATCAGAAACACTGAGAGAACTGAAAACTTGACTTTGATGTTTCCCTGGAGAAACAGGGATTCAGTGTCTGCAGCGTCTTGCCCGCTCTCTTACATAGCCATGGATTACAAAATGTGCCCAGGAGACTAATTCCCAAAACAGTATCACCCTTCCTGTCATTTGAACAAATGGCTCTGCATTACAAGAAAAGCTACTAGTTTATGAGGCATTTTGCACAGGGGTGATTGTCACCTCTTACTGAGCTCAGACTGTTCTGTAGTTAAAAGTGTGAATTTGTGAGAGCAAAATCTCCACAGGGGACTGGATCAGTAGCCTTGGTTGTAGGTACTTAGCCTGGGGAGAGGCACACTGTGGTTCCTCGGGGTAGTAAGGAAATTGAAACACATCTCTCATAAAACAGAGAAAAATACTCCAGAGTAGGAGCCAGAGTCCCGCCTACAGAAGACACACAGCCCTCTGAGCTGCAGGTCATGGCTGCTCTCTGCTAGTGCTGCAGACCTTCCTCTCTCAGTGGCCCGAGAGTAATGGGGACCATTCCCACCTCAAATAATCAGCACCCGATGTTCAGGGCATTTTTCTGAGGTCAGGGAGATGAAGGTTCAAACTTTCATGGGATTAGAAGAGTCTAGGATGCAGGTTTGGTGTTTCCCAGAGTAGTGCTATAGGTTATCAGTCGGAAGTGGAGCATCTTGTTTTGGGATAAAGTCTTTTTAACTGAACTACAGGGTAGTTCAGAGTTGAGAAATGAATTCTGAACAGCAGGTCAGGCCCAAGACAGCCTCACAAATTCAGCATAAGCCTGTCTGGTCAGCTCAGTGAAGTCAAGGCCATGTGTATTTTGGCTGTTGGCGCTGCAGCAGGCTCTCAGGGAAGGTTTTCCCTGGGGATGTAGGTGTCCAATGTGCATAAAACAAGAGAGGCAGCATTTCCCTCAGCAAGTCACAGCATGGGAGGACAAGATCTTACCTTGATTCCTTCCCTTCTGGGAGCTTTTTAAGCTGTTCCTTCTCCACTCCAAGGTGGTTATGAGTAGCAGAGGCTGCATGCAAAGTCTTATCTAAATGCAGTTTTATTTCAGAACTTTTATTTCATATACAGAAATAAATGGCTTATAACAAAGAGTTGAATTGCTGTCATTTTTCCTCTCCCTCAGGCAGAGAAGGGAACTCCCTGACAGCTTCCTTGCATACCATCAGACATCTCCGACCCTTGAACAGGGCTTTTCACAATGTACATTTTGGATATAGACTCTTAAATTCTGCCTAAGCACCACTTTGCATGAATAAATCTCTTTTTTGAACTGAGAATTAATCCATGTGCCTCACTTTGTCATCTGCAAAATGGAGAATTTTCTTACCTGACAAGAAAAGTGAGAGGATAAATATTTCAGAGACTATGAAGTACTCAGACAACTCTCTCAGCTCGGGTGACAAAAGTACCTCGGCTAGACAGGAAAACGCTGTTTTAAAATTCCCAGAAGAGTAGGACAGAATAGAGATGAGATTCAGCAATCTGGGAGGCAATTGCAGCATTCTGTGTGATAGATGACATCACTCACAGCACAGTAAAATGGATCTGTGTGTCGACTGTCTTTCCTGGTATGCTCCCTTCACTTCTGGCTTGTGCTTCATCTGTGCACTGTGCCACCAAATAGTGTTGTTCATCCTCCTGCTCTTTAATTACTGCTTGCTGCATCAAGTCCTGCAGAAAGAGAATTGGGAAGAGGAGTGGTACTGTATTTTTTCTGCTTATTGTTTTGATGTTACAGGACAACATTTGCAATTCCCATGGGGACCTACCCTCAGAGCTGTATTCTGCAGAAATATAGAAACAGAGAATTTAGGGGGAAATGGACTTATTTGACTACATATTTACCACGTGCCGATCTTTCAGTCCTTTCTCCTCAGGCAGGGCACCCCTTGGCTGTCAGCTCAGGCCGCTGAAAAGCCGTGAGTGACACAGTGGTAGCTCCAGCACGTTGAGCTGCTGTTTGCAGGCTCGACCCACGAGAGGGCAATATAGCAACATCCATCGCGCTTCCTCCCTTCACAAAAAAGGATCAGGCTCTGGAACCAGGAATTTCATTCTACAATATTATGTGTAGTATTAATAGAAAGAGCATTTTACTCTTTTAAAGTGCTGCCGTTTTGCTTATAGCAGTAAAATATAATCAGTATGCATTAAATTTCTTTCATCTCACAGAAGCTAATATGGCCCTCTGCTGCTATCCAATCTAGGACACCTAAACATTGGAAGAAACTCATTTTTTTATGCATCTCAGACATTCTATAAGACAATTAAATTGGAGGCTCAATGCTACAACTCATCCTCAGGGGGTAGCAAGTTTATCAGATGTTTTAATAGGACTAACTAATTGTATGAATACAATTCCGTAGGTTCATGTGCTACTTTCATTGACCCTTATGTAATTAAATACCTTATTTTGTATCTCACCCTCGGGTCTGTAACCTCCTTTGTTTAGCTGACAAATGTCTGTATCACCTCCTAACCTGGTTGATCCGAATTGAGCTTTTTGAAAGTGCCACTGACAGCAAATCACTGCAGTCTATAAAAGGTTTATCTTCCACTTGACTGGAAACTGTTAACTGTGTGCTAAACATTTTTGATAGCCCCATCCAGAAATATTTTTTTTCCACATACTTCATATTCTTATACACCAAAAGGCTGTACATATTTTGCAGCTGCCTTGTCTGATGCAGCTGAAATATTTTTTTCTGAGTGATGCTGCCGTAGATGAGTGATTTGTCTTTGCTTTGTGTTGCACAGAAGTTACTCGCCAGCTGCGGGCTCTGGTAGTGATTTGCAGTGTCACCAGCTATTAGAAAGGAGGATGCAGAGTCCTTAACCAGATCTTGACAGGTAAATGAGAGATGAACAGAAATGCTGTGACTAATGCTGTGGGAAGGAGGAAACACATTCTTACAAGCAGTTGCTCAAAATAAGTAAGTGAGGTGAGATAAAGGACTGTACCGGTGTCAGGACTTAAAAAATGAGGACTTAATTGTCTCAAAACACTGTCAAAGAAAGAAATTCCCATAAGATAAGTCACCAGAAAAGGAATCTGTGATAAGAGCAGATGGCAACAACAGGAACCAGGCCTGGTAAGGCAGATCTGGGTAACCTATCCAGACAATGACTCCCTCTGTGGAAAACTGTGAGAAAGGAAAGTGTTAATTCCAAACCTAAATGAAGGTAAAGGTTTGAAATGAGCAAACCAATATTTCACTGAGCAAGCTGTGGGAAAGAAAACAACTACTTACATCCATGCCATTCCAAGTTGTGGGAACATCTCCTGATGCCCTGTGAATATCCAGGACTTGAACTGTATAAAAGTGGTATTCCAGAAGCACAACTTTGGGACTTCCACCACCGAAAAGATCAGAAAAAGCGGGCATGCCAACAGAATCCATGTGGTGGTGATCTTTTACTTAATCTGTCTCTCTCTCTCACTCTTTTTCTCTCCCCCTCCCCCCTCTTCCTGTTTTTCTCTCCCTCACATTTGCTGTCAAATAAAATCCATACTATTGAGTTTGGCATGTGGTCTCTTTTGCACCTTAATTCGGGCAGAGGTATCTTTTAATAATCAGATCCTAACAGCTGGCTGTGACTGCACTATTTGCAGCAGGATGAGCAGCAGTCGAAGAGCACAGGAAGGTAGAGAGGGTGTTGCAGGGATGCAGGAAGGCCTGGCAGCACTGACTCCTCCAGAGCAAACCTGTCCATCAGCCCTGCAGCCGACCATGCCGGTGTGGGCAGATGCAGCAACCGGGGTGCAGGTTGTGCCAGACCTGCAGACACGAAAGGTCAACATATTTTGCATGGCATAGGCATTACTATGTGTGCTTCTCCCACATATCTTGTTATTTAATTGTTGTGAACTGTCTGGCAGCTCTGTGGAATGGAAGAATTAAGTAGTTTGATTAGTCACCGTCAGTGAAATTGTGGCTCATGCACGTGTCCCCTGCACACTCCATGTTAGACTCACGCACAAGGCCGTCATTATTCGTGAGGATGAGCTGCTGCCCTCCAAGATCAGGACTGAGGATATTGGAAAGCAGAATCACTGATGCCACAGGGACTGAGTCAATGCTGAGGAGGCAAGTCTTACCAAATTGGAAAGAAACTGTACTCTGATAATTACAGAAGTACTTCTGTACCTGTTAGGACAGATCAGTCTCTAATGATTCTGTGCCCTGCTGTGAGAAGTGTCTGTGCTGCCATCATGAAAAATTAAAAATTAATTCACTCTGTGTTTTATTTTGGCTTTCCTTTTTATGTCACAGGAGGGCAGGGAGCACTGCTACCACTGCACTTCAGCCCACGGCTTTTCTGCTGGCTGGAGAGACAACGTATGCTCACACAGAAGACTGATGTGGTACCTTTCCCCACAAAGTGTGTTTGAAAGGGTTTGTTAATAAGTCTGTAGTTTCCAAATTTACTTTGAGAAAGGAACCAGGAAGCTCTGCTCAGGAAAAGGTGAGGTGTGAGTGATGTAGCCTGAAGCTGGGTGTGGCCCAGTGTGGGGGCACCGAGTGGCCCCTCATGGCTGAACACACTGAACACACACGACGCTGCCAGGAGAGAGAAAACATTTCTGGTAAAAATGTTAAGCAGATTAAAGCATGAGCAAAAATAGTCGTGCATCAGGACTGTGCCCAGGCGTGCCAAAGGAGCAAAGGTCATACCAGGGCCAGGCTCAGAGGCTGCAGTCCTGCCGCCTGCCCTGTCACACCCCTGTGGGGTGGACAGAAGGCAACAGGCAGCACCAAAAGGAGGATCCTGCTGGTTATGAGGACCAAACCAGGCCAGGGCTAGGACACCTGGGGTTCTGCATCCCCTGTCCAAGACCAGCTCCTTGTGGTGAGGAAGAGCACTGGGGGCTTCTGCCCCAGTCTGGGGGCAGACCCTGCTGTCCCAGCTTCACCTGCTGGGCCCCTGGCTGGGCCATGGAGCTGCCCCAAAGCCCCAGCCATGCCTCGACATCCTCAGCTGGTTGCTGGTCACCGTCCCCATCCTGGCTCTGCCTTGGTGTCAGGGCAGCCTGAAGACCATTATGAGCCTTTACAGGTTCATTTTTTTTCATTAAAATAGTGGCATTCTCCAGACTAGTTTGTACCAACTTTTCAGTATACTTCAGCAATGCCAAAGCACTGGGTGGAAAATTTCTTTTACATCAACAAGATTTGTTTAATGGGAAAGGACATTACTAATGGGGAAAGCAGTTTTTTCGGACCACAGAACCAAATGCCAGCCTAGAAAAAAAAGAAAAAAGACGGAAAAAATGATGGAAACTATAAAAAGTTCTGTGACTTTTTAAATGTGAAGCTCTACTTGTGCCGTATATTTGAAGGCAAATTGCAATAGGCTTTCAAGCAAAAATAAACTTGAATGGACTTTAAAGAAATGTTATCTGTGAGAAACATATGTAAATAGACATACACAATTTTTATTAAAGCATTGTAAAGAAGAAAATACAGATTTAATGTGACATGCAGTATGTAACCAATTAATAAGTCTCCAGTTTGAACACTGTGATGGATGTATGTAACAGAGATTGGACTTTGGATAATTGCTACTATTTAACTAGGAAAAAGAAAGATGAGTGGCTGAAGAGTTTTGTCAGCTCAGCCACTTCCAAAGTGACATCCCACCCATGCACAATCCCATTCTCACGGGACAAGCTGCTGTACAAAGCCACTCAAACATGCTGGTCACAAAGCATAACCAAACAGGATCAGGTTCTGATTTAAGTAGAGAAGATTAAAACAAAGCCAATCTAAAACTTTAGCCCAAACGAAGAATTCTATGGGACGGGGCAGGTTCTACTTTGCAGATTTCTCCAGAAGCAGACTTCTCCAGCCTCTTCCAGACCTGTGCTCACAGGATTAACCCATGTGGATGGTTGTTTGGAGCTTTCCAGCTTTTAGCCTGTAGTTAAAATACACTTCTCTAAATCAGCCAATTTTCAAGATGACTCTTGCTGCTACCTGGTTAAGCAAATACATGTTCTTAATAGCTAAACATAAGCAAAAGGGTCCATATTTTTATCTCTTACTTGATTGCCACCTTTGCTACAAGATTTGCAATAAGTATTCTAGAGCATCCAGATGAATGACATGTTATAGAACTGGGGCATCAGCCACTACTGACTAATCACAGTTTCATTCATTATATTTTACATAATTTAACTGGCTGAATCCGCTTACCATTAGAGGAATATGAAAACCATTTAGAGCTTTTGCAGTCAAGTTCATGACAATTTCCTTTCCTCACAATCATACTGTTTCCCTGAGTACCTGCACAGTTATTTCTTGCTTGGGATGTTTACCTATTACATGGGGAAGGTCAGTAATTTCAGCTGAGGCAGATTGGCAGAGTTAAGCTCAACGGGAGCCTGACCCCAGGTTCTGTAACCAATAGATTATATAATAGAAGTTTATTACTTTTCAGAAGAAATGACAGAACTAAACATTAATAGACAGATTGACTTTCCTGTGGGGTCACTGTTCATTAAATTTCCCACTGCTTTTACAATCTGAGCTGCTACAGTCATTTAGCTTTTAGCTCAAGTCATTAAAGTGAGAAGATTGTTTCTTTATTACCTTGTGACCATTCTTCATGTTAATGGCATTTTTCAAGCTCTCATCTTAAAACTGTCAAAGACTATAAAAAAAAATGTAAACTGTGCTTCTGCAGCTTAAACACAAACAAACCCAGTTGCTTCCATCCTTCTTATTTAATATCTGACAGGCACCAATTTGTGGCAGGCAGGTAACCAGGTCCCTAACTGAGAGAGCTGGGTAAGGATGCAAACCCCCTTCACAGAAGTAGGTGTTAGACTCAGGGCAATTAGCTGTGAAGGTCTCACTCTGTAAAGCAGCAGTGTGCAGGGGAGGCTGCAGGAAATTGCCACTTTTTGTCAGGCTGCAGAACCAGGAATGGGGACGGGGTAGTTGAGCTAAGAAGGACATGCCAGAGAGAGATTTAGCCACTGGAAGTGTGCACAGATGCCCTGAGGGAATCACAGTGCTGTAGCTGGACCAGAAACCACTGGCTTCGACAATGCTGGCATCTTTTGTGTTCTCCTTTCCTCCTCCAAAAGTCAATATAGAGACTTTGAAACAGATACCATTACAGAAGGTCATCCACATACATTACAGAGGACTGTTGTGGAAATGAGGGTATGGAAAACAGTAAGAAACTCCCTGAAGGAGATTCCATGCACCAAAGTATTATAGAATAGAATCATATTAATGGCTTGGGTTGGAAGGGACCTTGAAGATCATCCAGTTCCAGCCCTCTCACTTTGGACAGGGACACCCCCCACTAGACCAGGTTGCTCAGAGCCCCATCCAACCTGGCCTTAAACACTCCCAGGGATGCAGCATCCACAACTTCTCTGGGCAACGTGTTCCAGTGCCTCACCACCCTCAGAGTAAAGAATTTGTTCCTAATATCTAATCTATACCTACTTTCTTTTAGTTTGAAGCTGAAGAAAGATATTTAGTTCTTATTAGGTAGACATAACATTTATAACCTTGCAACAAAAATAGTTAATAACAGGATTTATTACTTATCTTAATCTTACAAGGACAGTGTTTTATGGCCCCTTCTTTCAGGTCACAGGTCACTTAAAAATACAAGGGCCACAATATCAAATGTTTGATGAGTGGTCAGAATAAGAGAACACTCTTATCTTACATCACTGATTTCCCAAGGAAAACATGAAAAAACCTTTTCTGCACATACTACATAATTTATAGTAATCTAATTTCCCCAATTTCTGATAACACAGGGCTCATGTCTTAGACTTTACACTGTTTCGATGAAAGATTAAAGAAAACTTTTTCATGCTTGCCTCCTGCTCTTCGATCATGACCCTTTAACTTTGTTTCTTGTCACTGACTGATGGAGGAGCAATGTGACTTGACTCCCTTCCTGCCCACCCACTCCAAAAACGGAAAGCCGATAACAGCAGTAGATGAGATAGGAGGAGGCAAATATCTGTTGAATCCGTGTTCTGTGAGTCAAAGATGTTTTTTTGAGCCCTGAAACCAGCAGACTATAACAGCTAAGGACACCTAAACCAAGAAACACTTGGGAGAATTTTGCAGCTGAGCAACAGTGTGAGGAGGATGTACAATATCTTACACTGTTCCTAATATTACAAGCTCCATTTGTTATTCTTTCCTAAATCCAGATTTATTGTTTGAGGCCATCACCAAAGTGTTGTTTTCCCACTATGAAACAGATGGCATAAATGTGCCATGTGATTTTATTGCTATGTTACAATTTCACCATGTCATGCTCAAACCACTGGATTAGTTCAGTCCACAATAAAACTTCCATTCTGCTGTGCTGCCTATGGGGGCACTGAATAAAATGGCAGCTGAAAAAGTCTCAAGTTGCTAAATCAATATTTCATTATTTGTCTCAATATAGGTTTATTAGCCATAGAAACAAAGCTCAACAACAGATAAAAGCTTGAAACAGTTACTTGGAAAAATGTAACGAGAACAGACTTGTGCACAACCACTGCATTTTTAATCTTTTCATTTCTTAGTACAAGTACATCTTTTCCAACACGATGAGATTAAACAAAATTGCTCAGCTCTGTTCTTTGTAAGGTCAGTCAAACTATCGCCTGAAAGAGTCTTTCTCAAGGTTATACACAAACGAAAGAAAACTTCTATTATAAATTTACCTTGGCACAAGCAAGAATAAAAAAGAAATAATCTGTGAAGAGGTGTTCTGAAGAGTGTTCAGTTTAAGACGAACACGACTAAAAGTAAAACAGCTGAAATACAGTAAGATTTAACTCCCTGCAGTCCTTTATCAGTGCTTTTCAACCACAGCAAGAGTCAACCACTCAGCACATTTAATGGTTTAAGGCCAGAGGCAGGTACAGAACTTGCTACTCTAACCTTGGAGGTGTTCTCACACCCAGGGTGGAGCAGAGTTGACACGTGAATACATAAACATTTGTGGAAATCCACTCCCTTGATTGCATAAGGTGAATACAGCAGGCCAAACTCTGTTGTTACTGACAGAGGCTTAAAAGGAGACATGTTGATGACAGAAATTGTTTTCTTCTACAGGAAAAATACTGCAAATCTCTTGGCTTTAGGGGACACTTTATCTACTGGCCCTGTAGAGATAACCTTATACATGCCACCAAGGGAGCAGAGGGAGGACTTAAAAATCCCAAGTGAGGTTGCTGGGATAATCTCAGCATTCCTGAATGCCTCCCTTCCCACTGCCTGGATGGACACCAACCAGCCTCTGATTAACCCTCTCTGGAAGCTGACCCTTTCACACAGATACCACCAGTCCCTGCACTGGCCGATCCAGTTTAGTGGACCAGTATCTCCAGCTGCCCTTGAGGGTGGCTGGTACTGTGTGCTGGTTCAATATGCCCATTTTGATGGCCCCTGCTGTGGATTTCCTGGGTATCTTGATACCAACCACAGCATGAAGGCAGGCCAAGTCAAAACAGAGAAGCATCTGTTAACTTGATTCAAATATAGACAATAAAGATATCAGAGATATGTGTACCTGAACAAAAGCAAGGGGTTTGGAAGACTTTTAACAACTACTACAAAAGTAATTACTCCCATTGAATTGGCCTCTTCCTTTTCTCTCTGTTCTAATTTTTTTTTTAGGAAAAAATTAGACCATTATTTAATTGTATCACTTTCTTTAGATTTGGTATTAAAAGAGATCTTTCAACATTTCTGAGTGCCCTTCAAATAATTAGATTTCTGAAGTCCACCCTGTAGCATTCTATTAAAATTTATTAACTCACCTGCCAGCAGTTTAAATAACAAAATGAAGAAAACAATTTGCATCAGGTACTGGACAGTGACGACAGGAACATTCCCAAGGCACCTTCACATGATTTCTTTATATGCCCTTCAAAGCCTTATATAAAACAGGAAGCTTGTAGAACATGGTCCAAAGAAATTAAAATTAAGGCCATGCAAGTAAGAGAGATGGGGCAACTCCGTGGACCTGGAAAGATTTAGATGCTCACCCATCTGTTTGCATTACAAACCCAGCTAAGGTGCTGCTGCCTGTAGCATATTCTCTCGAGTAGAGAGCTCCATGGCAGCTTAGGGGTTTGTAAAGCAGGTTTGTGAAGCTGCTTCAGGCCATGGGGCAGCCAGCACAGCCTGGCAGTGCCTCACGTGTAGCTGAGCAGTTCTTACTACATTAGCCCTGGTCACATGGAGCACATTGCCATAGGCTGGTCCTGAAGCAAAACAGAGCTCTGAACAGTGACAGCATCTGCTTCTCAGAGGCATTACTTCATGGTCAAATGCAGTTGCAGCCAGGCAGAGTGGCTCCTACCATGGGGCCACGGCAGCCTGCCCTCCATGACCACATCTCCATCAGTGCTGGACACCCTTCTTTGGGAGTGGGGAAAGACAGCCCCCCTGCCATCTCTCTCACACAGCAATGCCTCCATCATGTCTGTGCTCAGTGCTAATCAGCCTCAAATCAACACATATTGCAGCTGTGGTGATGACACAGTGTCCTTGTAGCCTGAGGAGGCTCTCTGAGAAAGCAGAGGGATATGCCATGGGGAGGTGCAGGGGACAGCAGGGCAGCCTCTTGCAGAATCTCATCTGTGAAATCTCGTGGAAGAGGAGCATTTGTTCACAACCAACTACAGCAATCTCTTTCAAAGAAAGGATTATCAAAATGATGTTGACTATCAGCAAGCCAATAATTTGCCATTGTCACCAGCAAAGAGGATATGCCAGATGAAAGGTCCACAGGCTGTACCTGACTCTGAAAACCTCTGTCGGACAGCAAAATGAACTCCTCTATCCTTTGCAAGGCCTGGCACAGAAGAGCTACTGAGAAAGGGCAGGCCAGAGGGAAGTGAATGCTTTGGTGATGTGTGGTAGCATTACTCAGCTGCCTGGGAAGGCATTTTACACATGTCCCAAAACAAGAGTCTGAAATTGGGGCTTATACTTTTAATGTCACTCTGGAGAAGACTTTTCAAGAGTATGGCACAAAATATGGTGCACAGAGTACTGGAGAAGTGAGATGGTTTATCATCAAGGTAACCACATCCATTTGGAAATCTCTGGACAAATGAGCAATGTGGGGGGACCTTTTTTCAGTCATGTTACTAAGAGACATATTTGTAGTCAATCATAGAACCATCAACTGCTGCTACTCAGGAATTTTTTTTAATGAACTCTTTTATACTGAAAAATAATTCAGTGAAGCTAAAATTGCTCATGGAACCGTGGTAGTTTTGACAAAAACAAGAAACAAAACTTGCACTGGCAATGACTTTTCAGACTCCAGATGGAATTTGTGATCCATAAAGCATCACATCGAGGTTGGCATCACCAGCATACAAAAAATCAAGAGGAGCAGCTCAAACCCACGCCCTGTTATATCCCTTAATAGAAGAATACTGGTCTGCTTTACAATAATCTATAAGGAGCTAATAAGGAAATTAAGTCTACGTTAAGTAGTTTAAATTGGCTATACCCAGAGATCTGCATATACTATAGAAAATGTCAAGGGATTTTGAAGTCTGAAAATGGATGAAGACTGCTAGTCTACTTCAACGTGCAAAGCAGCCTAATGCCCTGCAGTGGAGGAAACACAAGTTCAAATCCTTGCTCCAGGGCTGTGGGTGAAGGACAGAGCAAGAGTCAGCCTTCCTTACGGGCTGGGGGTTTGCTGACAGCCCCAAGACACTGAGTATTTTGGCACTAGTATCATGATTTTGTGAAGTTTTCAGGAAGTCAATGCTGTGCTATGCAGAACAGCAAATATTGAAATCTCAAAGTACTGTGCAGGACAGAAATCCCTTTTTTAAACACTTCTACCAATGAAGGAGACAGGAGCATTTTCACAGAGCCAAGCTGCATGTGTGGAAAGGCTGAAAGGTAATGAAGGTTAGTAGCACAGTTAGGTAAGAAAAGTGACACTGAGCTACAAATAACATTTCATAGGGTTGAAAAAAAATTGAAGAGAACATAACACTAGAAATTATTTTCAAACCTACATTTCTTTTAATAAATCTGCACAATAAAAGTATTGACTGTTATGTACTTTGATATAAGAGCATGTGAAATATTTTAGGGGGAATAGAACAAGGAGGTATCATTATTCAGCACTGCTATTGAACAAAACGCAAAAAATCAGCAAGTTAAGAGAAAAAACATCCAAAAGACCTAGAAACAGAAAAATGAAGTTTTTCATGATTACTGGACATATCTGGGATGACCCAGAGCAGTAGTCAGGCTTAGGTTTGAGGTCAGCACTTTTTCTTCATGGAAGAAAGGTCTTTTCATTTTAAAGTTGATAGTTACCTTCAACCTTGCCTGCTCCTCAGGTGCTGTCACAGAGAAATTTGCTTAATGCTGCCTATGCTACCAACAAATGAACGTTCAAGAGTGCCCAGCCTTTACTATACTTCTACTAACGCTCTTGAAGTTGTAGGTGAGTTGGAAACAATCAAAACCACGATTTCAAACAGCTGTAGGACAGAAGAAGTACATTTAGAGACACCAACATAATGTTCAGAAACAACCCCACAAGACTTCACACAAAAAGGGGATACTGAGATATTTATGTCACTACTGTGAGACACAGGAGACATCTGTGTGGAATTTTTTGATTTTATTTAAAATGCTAGTGAGGTGGGTACATACAAAAAAACCAGTCTGACAAACTCTAATATGTCAGGTTTTCTTTCAGAGGGTCACTATATTTTACCTTCACCCACCTGTAAAGAAAAACCTATGGTTAGAACAGAACCACAAACAGAAAAGTAGACAAAACAAAATAAAAGGAAGAGATAAAAATAACAATCCCAATAGTAAATGGAAATAAATGACCTGTGCTAAGAGAGTTTAGGGGTGCCAGCTAGGGAGAATGTTTGAGCTGGTCACATCGCCCTTGCTTTCCTTCAATAGTGTAATTTTTCACAGAAAGTCCTGGCAAGAAATGCTGCCTGCAGTGGTTTTAATCTTGGAAACAACCCACGTGTGTTGGCTGCATTAAGACTGGAAGTGAAAAGGCCTCAGGTGGGAACAGGCTGTGTCTCACTGTGTGTCACAGACTGACACCTGCATCTGGCTCCAAATGCCTGTGTTCATCCCCTCGGCTGTTTGTCCAGCACTGAAATACTGCCTGGCCCAGGTGGGAGCAGACAGAGAAGGACAGCAGGTAAGCTTGGGTAGCAGATCCACATAGGTACAGACCTTCCAGCGTGTCACTGAACAAACAACTTGAGTCCTTGTGCTCAACATCACTGACAGTGGCAAGAGCTGAGTAACAAAATAAAGAAAAATCTAAGGAAAAATCAAATCAGGAGCCTCTGACCTATGGAATCGATCCAGGGTCTGTTGTGCAGGAAAACACATTCTACACCACAGGAAAGGCCAGGGAGACAGAATATTCTGGTACAGAATATTCCCTATGCAGAGATTTCATTGCTGGAAGTATCAAAATGATTTAAGTGCTTGTTTCCTCCTTGCTTTAAGCTCCTCAGCTAACCCTGGGAGCGATGCAGGTACATACAATTCTTCCAAGTGGAGAAGGAAACAGTAGGTCACACTGAAAATTTTTGGTTTGATTCTTAGGTTTTGTTGTTTCTAAGGGGAAAACAGCACAGCAGTCAGTGTACTTTTATTGCATGATACCCAGAGACAGGACAGGCAAAGAGAACACAGGTCCTAATATTACAGTAAACATCGCTGCAGAAAGCTAAATGGTAAGCAAGTGCTGTATAACATGCTGCACGTGCTAGATATATACAAGGTCAAGAGAATATAAGCAAGGCCTTTCTTGCACTGACTTGTTACTTAGCATTCAATAACTCACTGCCAAATGAAAAATACAATTACTGAGATCCCCCCATAGAAGAAAAGCATAGTTCAACTTTCTGGCAAAGCTCAAAGTTCAATTACCCTGTAGCAAATCAATCAAATCTGTGTGCAGCAAACAATGAAATAGTACAGATGTCACCTCTGTGCTTTCAGCTGAACATGGTTTTCTCTCTTTTTAAAAATCAGCAAGTAGCACTAGGAGACATTTACAACTCTCACATTATGCAGAAGATAAAAAGAAATCTATCAATGTGATTTAGAGCAGCAGAGAACAGTGCTCAGGGCGTGCAAAACAATAAATAACGAACATTCATCACCAGTAACCTGCACGATGATCTGATTTTTATAGACACCGAGATTCATGATACCAGTTTAACATTGTATCTGCCACACTCCCATAGCTGGGAGCCAGGCATGCAGAGGCAATCATGCACTGAGCCATGTGCAAACACATCAGCCCATGGTGATGGATGTACGGTCAGGACACAAACGTGTACGTGCACAGCAAACGCCACTTAACCCAGGGCAGAGTGTCCTGTTTGGATAAGAAACTGTTCCAAGGGGAGCAAGGTGCTACACTGTGCATGTGACAGCTCGGAAAGTCACACTCACCCTGCTGCTTCAAAAGACTCTCTTTGCCCTTTTGTTATGATCAGTGTAAAAACTCCCCTCGTGTCCATGAAACTCTCAGACACCCACCTCCCTCCAGGCTTCACCAGCCTCTTTAAAAATACCAGGGACACATTATCCTGCCTACCAGAGCGAGAAAGGATGACACAAAGTTTGTGTTGACTGCAACAGAGACTTTCAGTTTCCAGCAGGGGTCATTATGCAAGATTGGTTTTGGTTTTGTTCACTGTTATGACATTCCCAGAAATGATGGCAAAATTTTGCAATCACTTTCAAATGGCTGAAGTCGACTTTGAATTTAAGTCCTCTGACTTAAAACACTTTTTTGCTACAGAAGATTTGTTTTTTGTGCTTTTAAAAAAAAATTCCTGACAATGTCACTGGTCATATTTAATGCTGGAAAAACCTTTTAATAATTCCAGGTTAGACCATGATATTGTCAGTGAGTGAAAAAGGGAATATGCTCATGTTTATAAAACAGCCAACGAGACAGTGTGAAGAAATCCTCAGATCCAGTTCTGATCCCAATTACAGTGCTTGAAAAACCAGACTAATTCTGGAATTAGCCCTCAAATAATTCAAAGAAGTTTCAAATCAACCTTGCCACCCATGGAGTAAAAACTGCCAAAGAGTTGTCCTCTCACTCAGCTGTAATCTTTCATTCTGTTGTAACAGAGAATAATTTCTGCTTTCCCTCAGCCTGTGACTGTTATTTTGCTATGGCTAGAACAGATGCTTTTTGTGAAACTGAAAACTATACAAATTCAC